CTTTATCTTTGACATACACATAAAAACACGTTTGTTTATGCATGTTTTTGTTTGGCAGTTTCAGAACTACTGTATGCAGTGCAGTGGTGTAGGGAGGTAGAGTACAGTCCCTCTATAGTGTCAGCCTATCACGGCCTGCTGACTGACTGGGGGCTGTCAGGACTCCACAGCCAGGTTCCAGAGAGTGTCCTGCTGGAGAGACTCTACACAAGGTGAGGTTTGCCATTTGCTTTTTGACAAAGAATAGTGCTTAGCTGAAGAAGTGGAAACATTACAAAAAAGAACTTTAAAGAAATATAATAAACATATATACTGTTGCTCTGTAGGTCAGTGGAGGAGGGAGGTCTGTGGTCTCTGACTCTAGAAGGCTACATCCACACCAGGAGCATGACAGACACTAACAGTGAGTCCGTGAGGAAGCTTTACAGCAGTGTAGACAGGTCAGTGACAAGTAATTTAAATGCTTTGGATTTAAAATTCAAAGCTGTTATGTGGCAAGTCTTATCACCATGTTCATTGAAAATCAGCTCTGTTCGGTCAGTTTGTTCCCAGTGTCTCAAAGCAAACTCAGTACACTGCAGGCGCTCTGTCCCAGTATGACCAAAGAAGACAGGGAGACGCTTGTAGCCCTGGCTACTGCAGGAATTATCAACTGGCAAGAAGATGACAGTGAGAATACACATGTGCACACGCATGCAAATGTGGACATTTCTGAACTTGAACCAAGCAAATAATAATTTTGGGGTGTGTGTCACAGATGTGTACGGGTGTCTGGCAGTGCTGATGTGCTGCCTAAAAGCCAACACACAAGTAGACGAGGAGGTTGTGCAGGCTATCCTGGCCACAGTGATGGAGTGGAGGAACAGCAAGGAGGACTGGTTCCTCTTTAGCAGGTAATGTAATCAGACACACACCATGCAATTGATTACACTGTTGTTGTTTTTTTAAAGAATCTTCAATGTATTACTTAATGCACTGTTTTACTGATACGTTTGTCTCATCATTCTGTATTTCAGTGACATGTCTAAATCAACTACAGAGCAGTTGACTCTTACTGTCGAGATGATGCGTTTCCTGGCCTGGCTGGTGACTTGTTGTCCAACAGTTCTCCATAGCAGCCAGTGGGACTTCCTGCTCTGCTCTATGTTAGCCTGGTTGGAGGTTAGACACAGATCATACATATTGTGTTGTTTTGTGACTTGACAGCCAGGCTCAGCCACAGAGTACTGTCTCCAACAGTTCCCTGGACACTGGAGCGGGCTGGATGCTTGTCATCACAGGGTGTGCAGTTTTAACAACTGTATTTATCTGCTGTGACACATTATTTTTGACTGTGCTTGCATCCAATATCAGACCGCTAGTGAGAACGTGAGCAGTCTGTGGAACCCCTGGGTCCAGCTGTTTGTGTGTGAGAATGCGGCATTGATAGTGAAGCTGAACCAGTTCTTCACATCGTCCTCGCCTGATATTCTGGAGAAGCTGCCCTCTGAACTGAAGGGTGAATGGACAGACTTTTTTGTAGAAGGAATCTACAACCTGCTTTTGCCTCTGCCTATCAAAATTACAGGTGTGTGTGTGGATTTTGACACAGTCTCTAGGGAAGTGCACTCTGAAAAATGAAGCATTAAACTGAATGAATATGTGCTTTTAATTGGTTAAATGAAGAGCATTTACATGTTTGACTGTATCCCCAACCTACCAGTGTAGTATGGAAGCAGTTGATTGACTTTATTTACAGTATGTAGCAGCCCTGATCTCATGAGTCACAGCCCTTTTGTCTGTTTGCTGTCTGAATGCAGATGCCTTTACTGAACCAGACGACCCTGTGTTCCCGTTGGCGGTGCTGCAGTCAGTCGGCGTGGCTCTGACATACGTGCCTGTGTGGCAGCTTAACCAGAACTCCCTGCCACCAAAGTTCATAGCGGACCAGAAGACGAACCTGCCAGGGCCCCTCCAGACGCTCCTCAACACTTTCTGTCCTCTGCTGCTGTTTAAGGCCAGGCCTCTGCAGATCACTGTCTATCACCTTTTAGAAAAGTAAGGATTTTGCTTGGGAGTACGTATGAGTTTGAAGCTTACTTTTAAATTAACAGGAGAAAAAAAAACCTCTACTAAAAATACTTTAGTTAAAATGTTTACATTTGTGTTACATATTTACCCTGATATCTTAAAGATCCTGCAGAAGGTTGGGAATGATCAACTCACATTTACTATCAATACAGGGTCATGCCCCAGCTGCCTGAGTGTGATGGAGAAGGAGACAAGTCTGATGATGACAGTGATGAACCATGTCTGTAAGTCAGTGGGCTTGACCATTTCACTGTGGGTTTTCCACATGAGTACTAGACAAAATTATTCTTGGATTTAATATAGGTTGTATTCTTAAAGCTGTGTTTAACGTTCATGTTCAGTTCTCCTCCGGCCTCTCTGATGGCTATCCTGTCAACCTGTGAGGAGCTCTGTGATAGCATCCTGGCTGGGGTTCAAGTAGGAGAGTTTGCAGTGGTCCAGTCGCTCAGTGTGGAGTACTCCTGCATCCTGGGCTACCTGCTGGCCTGGAAGCTGCTCCTCACGTTTTTCAAATCCTCACCCTCCCATGTGAGTCACAAGTGCAGACCTTAGTGTTTTTTGTCATTGGTTTTGACTGGTTTACTTTCGGTGTACGAGATTGTATACAGTCATACGGATGTAGAAAGTTGATTTCAAGGTATGATCACAGTATTGACTGCTCATCTGGTCTATCTCTAGCTGCGTGCCCATTATGCCCAGTACCTTAAGAGAAGCTGCTCCCTTAACAAGCTCCTCCTCCACCTCTTCAAACTGATGCCTGAGAACCCTTTCTATCCAGGGCAGGGGCCAGAGACAAAGGACACTAAAACCTTCTTTACAGAGAGCCTGTCTCTGGTTGTTGACAGTAAGTCCAGCACACACAAACCTTCAGTTTCTGTCCATGACCGTGAAATGTAAACGCGCTTAATTTCTCCTCCTTTTTTTTTGCTTGCAGAAAGTGATGCTGTTGAATGGGAACTCCCTCACCTGGCTTGCACTGTGTACTACAGCACAGTGCAGGACCTGCCTGCCATGGTGCGGCTGTGGTGGAACAGCCAGGAGAAAAGAGTGAGCGCAGCTGTGGAGAAGTTCACCATTAAGTATGTCAGTCCTGTTCTCTCAGCCCAGGAGATTTCATCGGTCCACTCCAGCACTCAGATGTTTGACAGCATGACTGTAAGTTAGGAAAATGATTGCTCTGCATCTGTATGTACAGCCACAATATTGACTAGTTTAAGGGTCATCTTGGGTCCTTGACTTCGTGAACGAGTAATTTTCTAGACTTTAGATTTAAAAATTAAATGTAGAATTTCCTGTAATCTGACAAATTGTTGGTGGATTGAGCTGTCTGCCGAATGTAGTTTTCTTTATACCCATTTTTATGAGAGCTTCACTGTGAGGAGCTACTGTATAATTCTTAAATTTCAAAACCATTGACTATTTAACAACTCATGTAGTGCAACCACTGTATCACATTTACAGTATAATGATGCAATAACAATTGATCTTGTTACACTAAAATCATCAAGTGTGGTCCAGACATCGAATTGTGGCTGATTATTTGACTGAAGCAAACTGCGTACTTCTCTCACTGCTCCAGGTGAAGGCCCGCTCAGCAGCACGTGAGGTGATTGCTACCTATTCTGTGGACGATATCTTCATCGAGTTAGTTATCCAGCTGCCACAGAACTACCCTCTAGGCTCTATCACAGTGGACAGTGGGAGGCGTGTGGGTGTTGCCGTACAGCAGTGGAGGAACTGGATGTTGCAACTGAGCACATACCTCACACATCAGGTAGAAACACAAGCATGCAATGGATGTAAACGCAAGAATTCAGTGGAGTAAATCCACACTGTTCTTCAGTATCTAGCCAGATTATCCCTAGCAGTAAAGCTTTCTTGAACATTAAGTATTTCCTTGAGGGGTCTGCAAACATATTAGTCATTAAAAAAAATATAAATGTATGTTTATGTGTTCAGAATGGCAGTATAATGGAGGGCCTGGCTCTGTGGAAGAACAACGTGGATAAACGTTTTGAGGGAATAGAGGACTGTATGATCTGCTTCTCTGTTATCCATGGCTCCAACTACTCCCTGCCCAAGAAGGCTTGCCGCACCTGTAAAAAGAAATTCCACTCAGCGTGTTTGGTGAGATGTGATCACATCCCATCTAGTGTGCACTTTCTGCAGATGTTAAAAAAAAAATCACATTGATAAACTCTATCTTTGCTCGGTCTTTATAATGCATACACTCATTGGCCACTTTATTAGGTGCACTTGTACACTTCTACCTTAACAGCAATTTCTGAGCTTCATAAACACAGATGTTAACTTAATAAATCTTCGGCCCATTGCATCTCACAAATACAACCACTATTTAATGCACGACAACCTATAATTTAAAGTGAATATAGTTTTGTTGTTGTTTTTTTACACTGATATTTTTCTCTTGTCTTTCTACAGTACAAATGGTTCACTTCTAGCAACAAGTCCACCTGTCCGCTGTGCAGAGAAACCTTCTTCTAACTGTTGATCATAGCTGAAAGGCTCATAGTCAGTCAGCCAGGACTGGAACAGTTGTGATTACATGCAAGTTATTAAGAAAGTCATCTACACTCAGTTGGTAGTTTATTAGACACACCCAGCTAAAACTAAGCCGGGTTAACACAACAGACCTTCAGTAAGTGTCTGAGAGGCGTTAATTCAGCTGTATGATGTCGCTATTACTTTGTCCACTGCATTTATGTTAATGAGGTCAGGCTAAATAACAAATACTTCTCTGTATAATGCAGATTTTCATGACATCAAAATGTGGATGGATATTCTGTCTCTGAAGTGGCAGACACTGTTTGGTCGTGAAAACCTAGTTTCATGTGTTCAGTGGAAGTCTGAACTCAAGTACAGTAAGATCAGTGATAATTATGTTGTGGTGACTTCAGTAGTGTGGGTTTCTGTTCCTTTATAGCAGTGCTTTTCTGTACTGTAAATATGCAGCTTCAGTAACCCCCCTGCTGATGTTTTATTAATAGTTTTTTTAAAATAAGTTTTGTTGACTTAATTTTTTATCTCTAGCAATGACAGGCGCGTTGAAGAAGATGAATCACTGGACATAAGCACTTGTTTAAATGTTTACTTTCAAAAACTAAAGAAAGGATCATCTAAGTAATGCAGTGTCCACAACAGGTTTCATAAATATTTCCTAATATTTAGGAGTATAAAGAGATTATGTCTGATTAGTGACATGCCTTATACCATTATGACATTGGGGTGGGTGTCACCTGTGATGTTAATGATGCTGGAACTAAATAAAATACAGTTGAATGGATGTTAACTGATGAAATTAGTCTTTGATTCACAATTTATAACAAAAGAAGTGCAAGGTCATTAAAAAAAATCCATCTTTGAAATGTGTGCTTGAATGCTCGTGCATGCCTTTCGAACAACTACAGATATGAACTCTGATCTGAATGTACAGCATGTAATGCCATAGTTTACAGACATATGCTTTTCCATCAATAGCCTGGACTTGTATAACGGCACAGAAGGCTGATCTGACAGCCTTACGGGACCATGTACAGTGTGTACATTTCCTCAATGACAGATATTGATGCATATGCAAGAATATATAAATCTGGCACAAAGATGGCTCGTGCATATTTTTACTTTGTGCACACAGGCTTTAACTCCTGAATCTGCAAAGTATTCTACACCTGGCCCCAGGTGTATTGTTATACTCATGATTCATTAAACCCCTTTGACAACACTAGCCTTATTTATATGATAATTACAGTGATTATCTGGGTTATTGCAGATTCCAAGGCTTAAAAGAAACAGTCTGAAGAAAAGTATACGTAGGTTAAATGATAAACCTGTAGGGGGTTAAACCCATGTTTAGAGATTTGATTCCAACTGGGATCAACTCTGTTATAAACAAAACAAGTTGCTAAATAAAGTTATTTGTTATGCTACCACTTTATCTTAGATTACTTTAATCAAAGTCACCTATAATTGCTTCCATGAACTGTTTTGCTAACCTGAGCCTCCAATTACAGTTATATGACATTTCCATATAACCATTACTGAAAGTTAACCTGTACTAGTTTCCAAGAAAAGACTGTAATTAGCCTCAGCCTGTGACTGCTAGCAGTCTCCCACGCTCATTTATCTTGGGTCTACCTTCTCCTCATGTTGAATAATTTATCTGTTTAATGGAGGCATACTCTCACCACAGTCGCTCTTATGGAATTAATTGTTAGATTAAGCACGATCAATGAATTAACGCCTATCATTTGGTCTGCCGTCTGTGTGTGCGAGCGTGCTGTGATTCATAAGTGTGGTCAAAATTTATCAATACATACAGCCGGCATCCATCATCATCTGTCCTTGACCTTTTTAATAGCCATTGATTTGTTTGCTAGGCATAAATATTTATACTGAAATCCCCGTCTCTCCTGAGTTTTGACACACACACACACACATCGACAGCCTCAAATCTTATTGCTTATTAACTGCTTGATTAAGCAGCAGTGCAAATGTTATGAACTATAGTACAGTCTTGTGTGCAGCCTATTCTTTTTTTTAAATATAGGTCAACCCCTTCCAGGAGATGGCAGCATGAGCACAAGACACAGCTTGGATGAATAAAACTACACTATGAGGGGATGTGTGCATATTAACCTGAAAGAAAAGGGATGACTATGTCTGGCTCTCTGGAGAGATTAACTTACCTACAAAAGACCTTCTGTCTCATGTTGTTTTTCATACATATAGCAATAGTTTTTCATTTCATCTAAATAATTAATGGGGATTTAATAGAGTATCCCACATGGGTTGTTAATGTGCCATCTTTAATTACTTAATTTAATTTGATAAATAAATTAAGTCAGTGTTGGAGCCTATCAGATATGACAGTTGGAGATTCAAGTTAAATGTTGGTAAGATACTAAAATATGAATGTTTTTTAAGAGATGAAGACCTGTGACTTCAGCCATTCTGAAAATGTTGAACAGATAATATTTAAAGAAATCAATTAATGTGACAGAATTTGAGCAGGCCAATCTGAATGTGCAGCTGCTTTGTTATTATGAGAAACTGAATTTGTTGAAGAACTAAATATGACCAAAGGATCAGAAATCAAATAGCGGTTTATGTGCTTTGCAGAACAGGTGATAAAGATTTGATTTCTTTTTGGTCAAAGACAAAGAGCACACAACAGGTTCTACGTGTGTCTCTTTTGCTAGTGAAAGTGCTTGAGATGCCAGCCATCCATTAACCATCCTCAGACACTGACCTACTTGCATGAAACAGCTGTGCTAGTAAAAGCTAATTAACAGGCAACCTGTCTGCAACCAGTCAGTTCACGGGCCTTTCTGGTCTTCGAGTCTGATTCGTGGAGGCATGGTTACTTTATAATTCACTGAGCCTAGTTAGCTCTTATTTAGCCCTCCCTGACCCATTTGTAAGTGTATTAGCATTCCAAGCCATTTGTAGGAGGCTGGTCCCATCCTGGTTGCACCACCCCTCAACATTACAGGCTCAGCTCTGGAAATGGCTTTGAATTAGCCTGTGTGTATGTACGCAGGGTTTGTGCATGTGCGTATGCCTATCAGTATTACTGCTGATAAGAGTTGTATTGAAGTGAATCCTGCAGAGATTTATTTGCCTCTGTGTAGTCTCCCTCACTTCCTGCATCTCGTTCTCTGTGCCTTTCTCCCATGTTCCCCATAAAACAGCACACAGTATGAAATCAAATGCAGCATACAATTAATATCTGAATTTGAATGTAACCTGGGAATATATTGGGTTCATTTATCCTAAACCAAAGCAGGGAACTTTGTTATTCTATTAGGCTATTTCCTCAACTGCACTCAACAAAGGCAAAATGTTTGATTAATATTTGCTGTATTCATATAATGAAGATAATAAACTATGATTAGTGACCCCAGCCTATTGGCTCCTTGACATGCATTTATATTAGTCACTATGGTTGGGAAGGGTCTGCCTGGTCTGCTACAGTTTAAATCTATTGTTATTATGCTGTCATCTTGTACAGGCCTTTTAGGTTTTTCTATTACTGCTGCTGTGTAACAGCAGCAATGGAGGACACGAAGGACTGGGTGGCTGAGTGTACTGTTTTCAAAAGACACTGTTTGTGACTCAGAACCAAAGTAAGTAGATTTATAGACTTATATTTTAAGGTTATAGAAATAAAAAAAACAAGTCAATAGTTTGACTTGATTGATGTGTATTTGACCACATCAATCAGAATGTGTGGTAACAGTAAAATGAAGGTGCCAGTTCTTGTGCACTTTCATTTAAAAATGGTTTCAATAATGGTTGCAGTGTCATGTTCTGTCCCTGATTTCCTGCCAAAGACTCTTATTTTTAAAGGAACTTCCTGGTTTTCACTGCCTTTCTCTCTCTTGCTTTACTCCTGCCAATCAGTGACTGATTCAGATCATCTGGCTAATGCCACTCACCTGTTGCTCGTTATCTCCTCCCTACATATATTGCCTTACAGGACTCATCACTTAGTGGATTGTGGTGTCTTGTTTTTGAGTTATCAGTTGTTACCGGATTATCTTACCTGTCTGTAACCTGCTACCAAGCCAGTTACCTGTCTGCCTTTGGTTCCCTTCTCTAAGGACTTTCCTGCTGTGTTCCTGAACCTGTACTGATCCTGCCTGTTGCTGGCCTGGTTTCTGTCCCTGTCTCTGCTGAGCCATTGGATAGAAAGCTAGCTTACTTATGGACATTTTTTGTTTTGTTTTTGCCAGTGCTGTGGTGCTTTGTTGCAGTGGCTCCTTTTTTTGTTTTTTGAGTTCAGTGTATGTAATGTAGTATGCAAAGAAGTATTTTTGTTATTGTCTAAGTACTGGAGTGACTTTCTTTTGTTCTCAAAGTAACAATTCATGCCATCTCTTGGTTTGACTCCTGAGTAATTATTATTATTTTTTTTTTCCTGGACTGCTCTCACTGTCTTCCTCTACTCCCCTAAATGTTTCTCTGCTCCCTGTACTCTCCCTTGCCATTACCTGAAACCACTGGTTGTCCTTCAAAAACCATGTCAGATGGTCCACCACTGTCTGCCACAAACACCATCTTGCCTGTCACTCCACTGTGGCCGTCTGACTCTTGGGTCCCGTTTCCTATGGCCACACTGCTCGGGGTATCCGTTCTCAGAAACAAGCAGGGCTGGGCCTGGTCAGTACTTGGATGGGAACCTGCCTGGGAAAACTGGTGCTTTATGTTTGAACTGCCTCTGCTGGGTGAGCTATATTCTAACAAATGTTTCAGTTGTTTATTAAATTTACTATTTTGACTCCTGTGTTGTGCATTTTGGTCCACCACTCAAACCTTTAGTTGACATGTAGCTGTTCTAGTTTTCACTTTTTTGAAAGTAACATCTTAACACTAACTGCAAAAAAGCTAATCCACTCAGCATCTTGCCTCACACAAAGTACATTGAGTGCAAGTGACCTAAGCCTCTCCCATGATGAAACTTATCTGTCCAGAGGATTAAGTGTTCTGAAGCACTGCCTGAATTTGCAGTGAAAGTCTACTTGCAATACGCTGTCTGGGTATGTTTTTAACCCCACAAAACTCCATGAATTTTCACTCAACTCCAAAGTGATGCCCTTGACTACATAGAAGTAACGGCACCCAAGGACTATAAAGGAACCTCAACCTGATCCGATCCTTTGAGGCATTTAAGACAAACGTTAGTGGTACTCCCTGAATAGTTTCCATCTATTGAGATGCTGGGTACACCCTAGACAGGTAGCCAGTCTACCATAGCTCTGAGTATTTTACTTTGTTTCAACTCCTGTGTGAGCTAAATCCATAGAACAGGAGACAGTCAGGCTTTACACTCACCACAGTAGCTCACACTGGATTCACTGCAGCGTTGCATTGTACATAGTGGTAGGGATGGTTCTACTGTGCACACATAGTGCAAGAGGTAGCAAAAGTATCATAGTGCAAGATGGATCTATCACACCCCAGTCCCTGGATTTAGAGAAACCCACAGGCATGTCCGTGTAGTGTTAAAGATGCAAAGAAAATGGTCCAATTCCTATAGCAAAGTTTGATTCTGTACTATTTAAATTGGAACACTTTTTTTTAGAAGTTGTTTCCATGGGTAAGCTCAAGGGTGTTTAGATACATCATGCTGGAAAGTAACCAAACATTTAACATGCAGCAGAGGAAACACTGCACTTAGGCCACAAAATCATTCTGTGCTTAATCACCGCATTTAATTCCAACATTTTGGTCCTGTTAAGCATTTTTTTTCCCCACCATGAATACATTTTTAGTGGCACAAATTTTAAC